TGTCTCTCAAAAATAAATAAACGTTAAAAAAATTTTTTTAATAAAAAAATAAAATAAAATAAAGAAAACTGGAACGAGATCACTTTGGGCTGCCTTCTGCCTCCAGGAAACATGACACCTGCGACGGAGGCCTCTCCACGGCCACCCTGAAAGTCTAGCACTTCAGCGGTGACAGGGCAACTCGCATCTCAAGAGCACATTCAATTACGTGTAATAAATATGGACCATGATCTAACCTAGCACTGTCTGGTTCTACAAAGCAAATTCCTAACCATGCCATATTCTGCCTTTTTTGCATGCTTCATTCATGTCTTTTTTCAATGACACTTTTTCTGATTAGAGAAGTAATACAAGTTCATTATAGGCATTTTGGAAAACTTAGGAAATCAAAAAGAAGACAAAAATCATCTATAATCATACCACTCAGATTATTCAGTTAAATTTTTAGCCATAGAACCTCCAATCTTTTTTCTTAAAAGCACACATCCCACAGGTATGCTATTCCGAAGGAGCACGTGCACCCCAATGTTTACAGCAGCACTATCAACAATAGCCAAAGTATGGAAAGAGCCCAAATGTCCATTGAGGGATGAACGGATAAAGAAGATGTGGTGTATATATACAATGGAGTATTACTCGGCAATCAAAAAGAATGAAATCTTGCCATTTGCAACTACATGGATGGAACTAGAGGGTATTATGCTAAGTGAAGTTAGTCAGAGAAAGACAAATATCATATGACTTCACTCATATGAGGACTTTAAGATACAAAACAGATGAACATAAGGGAAAGGAAGCAAAAATAATATAAAAATATGGAGGGGAACAAAACATAAGAGACTCTTAAATATAGAGAGCAACCAGAGGGTTACTGGAGGCGTTGTGGGAGGGGGGATGGTCTGAACGGGTAAGGGGCATTAAGGAATCTACTCCTGAAATCATTATTGCACTATATGCTAACTAATTTGGATTTAAAATTTAAAAATAAGTTAAAAAATAATAATAATAAAGGTGAAAAAAAAGCACACAGCCCTCATGTAAGTGGGAGCTACTTCCCATACCCTTAAACTAGAAGTTTATCTTCAAAAGCAGCTAATCATTTGGGGGAAGAACACTGGGTCTTGTGTGAAATTAGCTGTCATACTTCTTCACTTCACTGACAGCCTTAACCACTTATATTCAACTCTCAGTTGCCTACGTGGTTCCCACCTAGGTGGAGTATCCATTCCTCTGGGATCTTGATCCTCTCGGCAGCTCAGGGAAAAACAGACTTGTCTAAAACCTCACTTTCATTGTAAGTCCACTTTCTTTCTCAATGATCAGTTTATAGGTGACCAGGGAGATGAGGAGAATATGAGGACTTACAGCAAAAATTCTTTGCTCCAAAGAGAGACACACCAGGAGAAAACGATCCTTTATTATCCTAGATGCTGTCCTGTGTGGATTAATGCCTAGAACTGCAGAGTTATTTTGGGAGACCCAGAGAAGCTAGCTGGAGAGTAAAGCCCAAAGCACCCTAACTGATCCAGACAGAATATTCTAGATGACCTCTAGCACGATATAAGAAACCACCAGACACAAAACAGACTATTGTGAGACAACGGCAATTTACAGAAGAATATGTATAGTCTGACCCCATTTATATAACCAGATAGATATAAATACATAGAAAAGAGTCAGGAGTAGATGAAAATGTTGGCAATGGTGACCTCTAACTGCTAAGTGAATCAGGGCTCCAACTTTTTAGTTTATATGTATTTGTATTATTTGAAGTTTTTATAGTAGCATGCCCGCATGTATTGCTTGTGTAATTATTTTAACATTTTAATTGTAAAGAGTATACAAGGTTCCCCTTTATTTGAAATTTGTGTTAGAAAGCTCAGAGCATTCATCTTTAAAAAAAAAAAGGTTTTGTGGTCAAAAAACACTTCAAGTTATTTTCAGTTTCTAGGGGGTTCCTCTCCATCCTACAGCCCTGCCTGCCTGCTGCGTGTCCACAGACCTTACTTTCCCATAGGAGACGCTGAGGGAGCTCACAGGCTCAATTTGCTTGGGGCAGACTCTGGACCGTGACGGGGGACAAGGTGATAAACTTCTTTTGTGAAATCAGAACGATGGGCATTTGGGCATTTGGCTGATGCTACCAGGGTGCCATCTGGCCTTGGGAGTGTCCAGAGACACGGAAGGCCAAGGGTATCTCTCCGGGCAGTGGAGCACCGGGGTTGTGCAGTGCCCCAAAGTGCAGGCCACGGTCCCCACATCAGAGTCACTTGCAAGCTCGCTAAAATGCAGATTCCTGGGCCCCACCTCAGATCTACTGAATAACAATCTCAGAAGGTGGCGCCTGAGAACCTGAATTCTTTATTATCTGCGGATAAAGTACGAGAAGTACTTCTCCGTGGGCAAACAGGATCATCAAAAGAGTCGGACCTATGGGGCCCAGAGGGAGCAAGTGTAGGCTCTTCCTTCTCATCCTGGTTATCTGGCTGCTCAGGGCCAAATCAGTGCTCAGCTCCAGCCATGGGGTTCCATGGCATGAGGACTAGTACGGGCTCTATCTTGGGCTCCTCCCACTAATTTTGTCACTCATCTTCTACCTTCAGTGTCCCCTAGCCAGCTACCAAAAGTCTTCCTGGGACAAGCAGGATAAATAAATAAATAAACCGGCCACTCATTAAGCACTTAGCCAGGATGCTGTGCTAAGTCCATTACGTCTCACCTCACTTAGCCTCACAACATACCTAAAATCAGGTACTATGATTAATCCCATTTTACAGATGTGGGAACTGAGGCTTAGAGAAGTAAGGTGCACACAGGTGCTGGAATTCAGGCACCTACTACTTAGACACCTAAATCTTAAACACCTACTACCTGTCCTTGGAGTGGTTGGCCCTACACACTTTTCACACAGGGCTGGTCCTGGGGCCACAATCTGAGTGGAAGAGGGGAGCGAGGTTTGTCTTGAACGTGCTTTTGCACAACTAGCACATTATTTTTACGTAGATCTTATGCTCAAATCAGTTTTTTTTTTTAAATTCTGAGGCTGCTTTTATGAACACATGGGTAAAATGGTTTTGTCTCACTTGTCTTACTTTATGTATGTATGTATTTATGGAAGGCCACAGAGGGGCTCACCTGTGGGGATGCTCCCACTGTAAACGAGTCCGTGAAACTGTTTCTGTCGACTTTATATTGAGTTTTCTGTTAAGTAATCTTTGATAGCTTGTTGGGAGTCATAAATACATTTTTACAGAAAGAACTCCCCCCAAGTCAGTACGTATTTTAATATATGCATGTGTGTGTGACTGTATGTGTATCATATAACAACGAAAATCAAACATCCCGTCCCCATCACCGTCCCTCTATATTCATCATAGATGTCCATGGTAACAAGCAGGAGCGCACTCGGACACAAGCTCGCGCGTGCGCACGCGCGTACACACACACACACGCACACATGCACACATGCATAACACACACACACAGTATCATACAACCAAATACAATGCAACTTACTTTGTTCATATCTACACATGACTTGGATACAGGACATTTCGCTTTGTTGTTTAACTTGAGAACTTCTGTTTCTCTTGAAGCCTAGAGGGCAGAGGAGGTGGCTGAAGGCACTCCGAGCTCGAGGTACTGTCTCCGCCCAAGCCAGAGCACCAGGTCGGATAAGCAGTGGGACTGCCAGCTCAGCAGCCCCCGCCCTCCCCGGATGGGACAAACGAGGGAGGAAGTGTGCGGTTGGGAAGCTCCGCAGCTCTCGCCTGGGTCTCCAGTTTTGCCCGCTCAGAAACTGCAAGGAAAGTATGGGAAGCTGCGCCCACCTGAAACCCTGCCGGGGCCCAGGAAGTTCCCCGGCGGCGGGGACTTGGGGACCAGGCTCCAAAATGGAGACTTCGCGGCTGAGAGTGCGCTCCTGGGTCCCGGGCTCGGCTAGGACACTGCCTCGCAGCAGCGCCCTCTCTCGGGGACTCTGGGGATGGCCTGCATTTATCGGCGTGCATCTGTGGGCTTGTACTTGGTGTAAGTGTTCGTGCTAGCGTTTATGTTGCAGCTCTTGTGCAGAAGGGGTGGGGGTGTCTAACACTGTGTTCACCTTCACTCCTCTTAATAATTCCTCTAGGAATTTCTAGCTAATTCTGCTAATTCTGCGCATCGGTATAGAGCTCCTAGGGCTCTATGGTTTTGTGTGCCTAGGAGTGTGAGGTTATAGTCTGGGTGACCAAGGGGGTGTGCCTTGAGTGTGGTATAGGTTGTCTATATGCCTGACTGTGGATATTTCACTTTATTCCCCCACCTGTGTCTGAGCAATTACCTATGAGCATGAGCTGTATCCCTCCATATTTGAGTCTTCTTAGTAACAGACACATTTTTACCATCTTCCCAGGACTGTGCTTATATAAATGTACAGGCATGTGTGTGGTGTATGAAGCCACAATGGGTGGTAATGGGATGTTTCTGAAATCCAGATATTGAAGGAATAGTGTAGAAGAGGGGGACCTCAAATATACTAAATCCTTTGCCCTTCATCTCATTCTCCTTGACTTCAGGAGAACCATGGAGTTTGCTTTGGGATCCTCTAGCTTACAATTGCTTGATTCTGACCTGAACCTGGCCTCCTGTGTGAACTCTCCTTGGCCTTCCTTCTCCTGTGTGTGGAGCCAGGGAGACTGCCTGCTGCATGCAAGCTTTAAGCCCATTGACCCTGATGTCAACAGAAAGAAGTGAACATCCCATCTCCTTCCTTTTTCCCCACCCAAAAGTCACTTCCTCTTAGTTCATTACCTGGGATTTTGATGCTTGTGTTCCCTCAGCATTATTGATACACATGGGAAAAAAAAAAAAAAGGAACTTCTTAAAATTCCCCCAGAAGGTTTTGAGAGTTGTTTTCAGTGTTGCAACTTGAACAAGTCAGTTTCTAGTTTAAGTTTCCATCAGAAAGCTTGGTAAGAGTAGGGTATATAAGCTCCGGTAGCAGCAGCAGCAGCAGCAGCAGCAGCAGCAGCAGAAGAAGAAGAAGAAGCAGCAGCAAGTTTTAGACCCAGCAAACTCTGCCGCCTGTCTAGAAGCAAGGTAAGTACTTCCTTGGCCCCTGCTAGCTTTCCGCAGGCCCGCGGGCTATCCGGGGTTAGCACCACTTGAGTGGTACCCCTACCCCTGGCAGGCTGCCGGAGTCAGTGGTAGACATTCCTGGTGACTTGCCTGCTGGTACTGACTAGTGAAAAGTCAGTACTTTGGGGACTGATGTATAAAGTATTAATGTTAAAAGTCAACTAATAATAATTATACACCAGGGTCTGCAAATGAATACACATTTGATAGAAAGGTTTGTTTTCTCTTGCCTGAGAGTGGTGTGTACATAAAAGCGTGTTCCTCAATTTTAATGCCCATCAGTTAAACTGTAGCAAGTGAGTGGTGCTTCTCTTAGGACTGTAAACTTTTTTTTTAAAGCTGTTCATTCATTAAATGGTAATGAATTCAATAAACAATTGAATTCATAGTTATACCACATAATTGAAAGTTGCAGAGCAAACTTTGTGTCAATTTTAATAGTCAGCTGGGACAGTCAACCACACTGATGCCTGGGTTATCCAGATTTTTTTGGATTAACTAACTTTGGTGCTACTTTAAAGATGAAAAGCAACCACAGTGTTTAAAAGTACTTGCCAAAGGGTTTTAAAATCTGTGAGGAGGAAAACAAAAGATTATACTGTACTGGTGTCTTAGGTTGCCGAGGGAAATTGTGTGCAACAAATTTTTGGGTTAAAAAAATAATGATCAGGTTAAAATATCATTTTAACCAAGAGATTACCAACTGCCCGCTGATGGCCCACTTCCATCAAATAAGGAATTTCAAGATATTGGAAAGAATTTGGACAACCTCCTAGGGGTCATTTTACTGGGACGTGAAGATTGATGATTTCTGTACATTCACTGATTCCTCTAATAATTAATAAAATCCCTCGAGGCCAGAGAGTTTATGCTAGTCTATGGGGGTATAATGTGGAGTAAGAAAGACATGATCCCTGCCCTCAGAGAGCTCATTGTGGCAGGGAAGACAAACATAGAGCAGTAACTATATTATTGCAGTGGTAGTAAGTGCTATGCATGGGTCTCGGGGAGAGTAAATAGCCAAGTGTCCTGACTTCCTCGGGGCACTCTGCTGGAGACCTTTATGGATTATTTCACTAACTCCTCACCGCTAACAGGATGCCCATTTTACAGATTGAGTGTGAGGCTTAAATAAGCCGAGTGACTTGCCTAGAGTCACACAACTAATAAATGGCAGGGCTGGGATGCCAATGCAGGTCTGCCTGGCTCTAGACTGAGGGTCTTTGCATGAGCTACCCATGCTTTGTGTGATTTTGCCTTTTTGTTTTAAAATAATAATTATTTTTATTTTTTTATTTTTTTAATGTTTATTTTTGAGAGAGGGAGAAACAGAGACTGAGTGCTACAAGGGGAGAGGCAGAGAGAGAAAGAGAGAGAGCAGAATCCTAGGCAGGCTCCAGACTCTGAGCTGTCAGTACAGAGCCTGATGCAAGGCTCCAGCTCACAAACCGTGAGATCATGACCTGAGCTGAAGTCAGACACTTAGCTGACTGAGCCACCCAGGCACCCAATAATGATTCTTTCTAAATTCAAGAGTAACAAAATAAAGCTTGCAAAAGAGATGCCCACCCAAGTGTCATGGGCATGCCCATGTTAGCACCAGTTTTAGGGAGTATAACCATCCCACAGGACCAGGAGTCCCTCTGTTCCTTATACAAGGATTTCAAGAATTTAGAAAAACTATAATATTACATGGAAAAAAAAGGTTTAATCCTCAAGACTCTCAAATGTAGCATGCCAAGGAAATGTGGGCTGTGCAGTATAGCTCTCTGATATCCGCTGATCTGGAGAACACAGGACAACTACATGCTGCCGCCTTTTTGGATTTCCTTGGGTTGGATTAAGAGAGTGACCCACCACCACCTCCCCCCAACCCAGCCAGTGTTCTGTGGTTTAAAATGTAGGTGACACTAAAATGCAAGTTGTTTCTTAGAATCATCACCAGGGCTCCCTTGACCATGAAGTGCAGTTCACCTGAAATTCTCAAGCACATCTCAGGCCCCAGGAGGAAGTGCCAGGCACATAGCCAAAGGGAAAATCCCAGCATTAAGATAGTGCAAAAGAATCACCAGGAGATGCCAGGAATCTCTGTATTTCCCTTCCCAGAGTGCCGGCATCCGGGCTTTACAGGCCTGTGTAATTACAATACCTCTAGGGCGTTTCCCTACAACCAGCGCAATGGTTTTGTCTACCGTTGTATACAACACAGACATACCTCATTTTTCCTTTATCTCTTCCCCTAAGTACAAGCTAATATGTTATTGGTTGCCTTTTATAATATGACATGTCATCTCATTGCATTCTCTCAACAGCCCTCTGAGATGGGTACCATGTCCATTTTATAGATGAGGAATCTGAGGCTCAGAGATAATTTGGGCAACATCACACAACTAGTGAGTGGAGGAAGCAGAATTCAAGCCCATGTCTGCTGGACTCCAAGCCTGTGAACGTACTAACTGATGCCCTGTGGCAACTAGTACGTTGCTACAGTCACAACTTGGGCTGATTAATGAAATGCCTGTGGAAGCCCCACACTGCAGTGACAAAGTGCTGAAGGTCGAGGATGCCTGACTTCTAGTCCTATCTCTGCCACTCTCAACCTTTGTAATCTGACCAAATAAGCACATGGCAAGGTTCTCCTAGGATTAGCAGCAATTCTAACAAAGCCATGATTTGTCAATATTCCATTGGCCCAGCCAATAAATGCTCATTTTTAAGGTATCTGGCAGAAATTTTTTTAATGGTTGATTTATTTTTGGGAGAGAGAGAGAGAGAGAGCACAAGCAAGGGAGGGGTAGAGAGAGACGAAGACACAGAATTCGAAGCAGGCTTCAGTCTCTGAGCTGTCAGCACAAAGCCTGATGCAGGGCTCAAACTCACGAACCGCGAGATCATGACCTGAGCTGAAATCGGACACTTAACCCACTGAGCCACCCAGGTGCCCCTTGGCCGAAAATTTCGAGTCTTATTCTTTGTATGATTTAGTCAGTGGTTTCTGAAAACATATTCCTGCAGAACATTGGTGCTCTCTGAGATGGATGGGGGTGTTTCAGAATGAAATTCAATAATCACCATCTCTACCTAATTCAGAAGTAGGGTACAGTCTTCTCGTTCTGAAGATTTGCATAAACCCTGGATACTAATCTAGATTGAGTGTTACTATAAGACAGTAGCTAATATTTAGCACAAAATTATGCATTTCGCTTTCCAGAGTGAATATATCAATATTTTATTGACTTCTTCCAAAGAACATCTTGATTTTCAGAGCTGTGGATCCGAAACATGGGTTAGACCAGTAGTTCTCAAAGTGTCGTCCTTTGACCAACAACATCAGCTTCAACTGGAAACTTTTAAGAAATGCAGATTCTGAGGCCCCTCCTCCTTCAGCCCCCCCCCACCAGACCTGCTGAATCAGACACTCTGGAGGTGGAACCCAGCCTTTTTAGCAAGGCTTCCAGATTACTCCAGTGTGTGCTCAAGTGTGAGAATCACTGGTTTCATTATGGAAGAGGAAGTAACCTTTGAGTTTGGAGCAATTGCATTCCAAATGAGGAGAGAAACTAAACTTGGCCGCCAGGTGGTTGCCATAACTTGGAAGATCATCTCTGTTTACCTGCCCTTCCCCCACCCCAAGTCCTTTATCCTTAGTGTCCCCACACACACTGCCTTGTGCTACAGAGATACAGGTGTATAGCTGGTCTCCTCAACGGGAGGGTAGGTGTTTAACAGACTGACTTCATAAATGTTTGTTGTTTTTTTTTTAATGTTTTATTTATTTCTAGGAGAGAGAGAGACAGCATGAACAGGGGAGGGTCAGAGAGAGAGGGAGTCACAGACTGAAACAGGGTCCAGGCTCCGAGCTGGCAGTCAGCACAGAGCCCGACGCGGGGCTCGAACCCATGAACCGCGAGATCATTACCCAAGTGAAAGTCGGATGCTTAACCGACTAAGCCACCCACGCGCCCCCATAAATGTTTGTTGAATGAAAGTATTTGCTCCTAGAAGACAGGACCCAGGCCAAAAATTCTTTTTTTTTTTTGGGGGGGGGGTCCTAAACTCTCTAGCTCAGTGCCCTTTACATTGTAAGTACCAAGTAAATAACTGCAGAATGTTGATCCAGACAAGTCATGTCCTTCTCTGTGCCCTAGGTGTCTCACCTTAAAAGTAAGAGGATTCAGGTGGCTGGCCTTAGGTCTCCTTCAGCTCCAGATAGTCTGTGGTTCTCTCTTTGGAGATGTTCTTCCCCAGAGACTGGCACAGGGCTCCTGTAATTCATGTAGTATGAAACTGACAGGACAAATCAAGATTGAAAACTGTACATATAGAACGAATACAGTCTCCAAAATGACTGAGTAATGACTGACATTGTCTCTTCTCCTTCCCCTCCTCTTCTTTCTCTTTTTCTCCTTCTTCTCTTCTGTTTCTCCCCCTCCTACAGATGCATCCTCAGCAGCTGACCATCTCCTGGTTTTCCCTGGTTTTGCTGGCACCTCCCCTCATGGCTACATGGGAACTGGAGAAAAATGGTAACCAGCCTCTCCTTCTCTGGAAAGGCCCTGAATTCTAAGCCACGACTATCAGGCAGGCCCTGTGGAGACATCAGACTAGAAGGGGCAACCAAGCCTGGGGGCCTCCTAGTGAGTGCCATCACTGGGAAAGTGTGGGGCCATCTGTCCTTCCTTCACCTTTGAGGGCATCAGTGTTGTTTGGCTTTCACATTACATGCCAGAGTAGGATCTTTTGTGGACTCTGATAGGGAAAGATACATGGATTTTGCCAGTATTACTAAAAACCAGCTGTATCATTCAATTAAAATTCCAAAGTGAAGGATTTGAAAAGTATAAGAACTCCATTCTCTCATCCCCTGCTCCATCACACAATATCTCCCCCTCTGCCAGCACCAGGAGTACTAACCTCTGACCATGCACTTTGGGGGAAGCAGAGGATTTAGACTCACATTGACTTGGGCTCAAAGGCTGACTCTGCCACTTATCAGGTAGGTGACCTTGAGCTGGGTCACCTCCAGCCTGAGTTTCCTCGACTTTGACCCAAGGATTATGAAGAGATGCCTACTACATGGATGATTAAATGTGCTTGTGAATTCAGAGGACAACTCAACAGATGTGAAGTGACAGTAATGTTAGCTGGCATTGTTTTGGTTGTTTAAAGTGATGGGACTGATGATTCAGGAGAACCTGTTTAAAATCCCAATGACCAAACAAAATTACTAGAATAATAGAATACGTCTTAGTAAAATAAGGGGTTCCCTCCATCCTTTTATCTCACACACACTAAGTCATATATTAACTGATTGCTAGTTGTTCCTGAAAGACCTTCAAATGTTTCTCAATGAAGCAGACCTACCATTGGCAGTTGCCATCTTTAATTGCGTACTACTGATAACTGTTACTATTTTTTGACAGTATCTCATTTAATTCTCACAACACTATAGTGAGATATAGTTTTATATAGTTGCTATATAAAATAGGGACTGTCTGTAACTCCATTTTACAGATGTTGAAAATAGAGGCTACAGAGATTAAGTAACTTCCCAGTTTCACATACCTGGTAAGGACAGAACCGTGACTTGATTCCCATTCTATCTCACTTCAAAGGCTGTGCATTTAAGTATTTGAAGACGGTCTTACAAGAAGGGCATGAAGCAATGGTTTCCTGTGCACTTGGAGAACAGGAGGAAATAGGCATTAAGTTACAAGTGAAGACATTGCAGCTGATGACCAGAAATAATCTTTTAATAGTCAGGAAAGTACCACACTGCAAAATGGGTATCTGAAAGAAATGTGGGACTATCCTTCCATTCTTAATCTTTGGGGGAAGACAAGAATCCAGCCATCTCCCCTCTGCCTGCGGAGGGTTTGAGAGGTTTAGATCCTCCTTTGAGGAAAGGCAGAGGCCTGAGCTAGATGATTATGCCAGATTCCTATCAATTCTGGGATAGTTAGTGAGCTCAGGAAACCTGGCCCCTGATTAGTAAACCCTTACATTACTTCTAATTTGGCAAACCACAGAAATTCCAGGAAGTCCATGTGAGAAACACAGAGGGCGTAGGACTTTGGAGACCAGATGAGACCAGGCACAGGGTTCCAGATATCTTCGTCAAGCTCCCCCTTGCAGTTGCTCTCCCCTGCAGCTGGGTAAGGGTCTTGTAGGCCTTCTGAGTCTTAGCTGTGACAGAAAAATAGCCTTGCTGTGGTTCAGTTGCCAGTGGAACAAAGAGAAACTAGAGAAAGCTGAAGGTGCGATCCGGTTTTATTTCAGCACAGGTGATCATTTCCAAAGAGTTGGGTCTCAAATGCATTTTACTTCTTGTTTTGTTACCCACTCAGTAGTTATAAATCCCTCAGATGTAAAGTGAGAACTTTATATCCCACAATGCTTTACATTTGGATGCCAACAATCAAAGTCACCATTCAGAGAGCATTTGAGGGCACTACGTTAAGCTGTTGTATGAATCGACTTGTATAATCCGTGTCTCGACCTGCTGAAGCAAGCACTAATATTTTGCTCATTTTAAAAATGATGACACCCAAGCTTAGAGTAATTGAATGTCTTGCCCGAGGTCACAGGCAAGTAGAAGATACAGGGCTGAATCTAAACTCAGACCTATGTGACTCCAAAATCCAGGTTCCTAACCAGTGTGGCTCTCAAACTAGAGAGGGCATCAAAATCATCTGGAGAGCGTAAAACAACAGACCCAGGCCCATCCCAGAGTGGCTGGTTTGGTAACTCTGAATTTGTACTTCCATCAGTTTCTCAGTGCTGCTGCTGCTAACAGTGGCTTTGTGGTCAGGTTTGGGGGACCACTGCATCCTAGTTAACTACTAAGCGATGCATGCATGAATGAATAAAGCTGTGATGTGGCACACTCATTGAAATACTATACTAAGCCACTCCTCAGATGCCAGTTTAGATACTCATATTGGAGATCCAGTACAAAGCCAACAAGACAAAAGGCCTGAGATTCAGCTCTTGTGTTTCTAACTTGATGTAACCTTGCTTGGTCTCTTGGTTTTGGTATGCTCCTCTATGAAACAGGAAGACCAAGATCCACTGAACTGCTTCATAAGGGTAAAAGTGTTTTTAAAAAACAGAATGAAAATCTCTGTTGGTGAGTAAGAACTAAATCCTTAAATGCCCATAGAAAATTATAGGACAGTTTCTCTGTGTAGTCATCTGACCCTTTGGTCTGTAAATAACAATAACCAATACTGAGTTTACTGTGGTAGGCATGCTGCTAAGTGCTTCATGTGTTTGTTTTTTATTTAATCCTCATGGCCAAACCTACGACGTAGACACTATTATTGTCATTTCACAGATGAGGAAACTGAGGCTCATCGTGATTAAGTACCTTGTTCCAAATCCCTTAGCCAATTAGTGGGGACAGGATCTCAGTGCTGGTCAATCTTTCTAGACATTTCTGTGTCCTGCCTTATTCCCTATGAAACCAAAATTGTGCTGCAAGGTTCTTTTCTCCACCAGGCCCTTGGTAAAGAGTTTTGTGCTCTTTGCATTTTTGGTGTATCAAGGCCTTCCCCATCTGCCAGCTAATCAGAGGTTAATTATTAAAGACAGCCTGTCAGTTAATGGGTCGATGGCAGCTATAAAACTCTTTGCTTGTCTTGGAGCACCTGGGTGGCTCAGTCAGTTAAGGGTCTGACTCTATTTCAGCTTAGGTCATGATCACACAGTTAGTGAGTTTGAGCCCCACCTTGGGCTCTGCACTGGCAGGCTTGAGATCCAATCTCTCTCTCTCTCTCTCTCTCTCTCTCTCTCTCTCTCTGTGTGTGTGTGTGTGTGTGTGTGTGTGTGTGTGCGTGTGTGTATTACAAGCAAGGTTGTGCTTTTCTGCAACGCAGATGTGCAGGTCATTCACAAAACCGCGTCCCAAGTTCGTGGAGCTCACAGTCCTGTTCTCCATTCCCTGTGCTCTCCAGTTTATGTTGTAGAGTTGGATTGGGACCCTGATGCGGCCGGAGAAATGGTGGTCCTCACCTGCAATACCCCTGAAGAAGATGACATCACCTGGACCTCGGACCAGAACAGTGAAGTCCTAGGCTCTGGTAAAACTCTGACCATCCAAGTCAAAGAATTTGCAGATGCTGGCCAGTATACCTGTCACAAAGGAGGCAGGGTTCTGAGTCAGTCGCTCCTACTGATACACAAAAAGGAAGATGGAATTTGGTCTACTGATATCTTAAAGGAACAGAAAGGTAATCCTATTACGTCAGATAGTGTTAATTTTCTCTTTAGCTCCATAAAAAAAAATTTTTTTAATGTAAACCCCTTACTGAAACCACCCAGCACCTGTCTGTTTCTTTGCTTTCTTAGACACTTTGAGTAATCAACCATCCAAATCTCATGTTCAGAGATTTTCGTGGTGAATATGGTTGGTTTTCCTGAAGTTCTTTTTAACTGGTTAATGGAAATTAACCGATGTGTATACTGCATAACTCGGCCCTGGGGTGGCAGCCTTGATAAATTTAATCCCCCCGTCTGATGCGTTAGGTGCATTGTATACTCTGCAGAATCAGCATCCTACTGAGACATTCCCAGTCCTCGCTGAACTGCCTGCCAGGGGAGCACCATCATTTTCCAAGGAAATAAATGGAAGATCTTCACTCTTATGCCACTTACTGGCCTGTGGTTCATCACAATTAAAATGTATCTGAAAGAAAACTTCTAAATATTGAATTTTTGTTCTTTCCAGATCCAGAATCCAAAAATAAGATCTTTCTAAAATGTGAGGCAAAGAATTATTCTGGACGTTTCACCTGCTGGTGGCTGACGGCAATCAGTGCTGATTTGAAATTCACTGTCAAAAGCAGCAGAGGGTAAGTGAAACCACTCTGATCTCTTAGCATTTTGCAAGGACTATTTCATTAAGAAAATAAGGACAACCTAGCAATGGCCTATCAGTTAATGATAAGCGAGAAAACAGAGTCAAACCTGTAGTTTCTTCAACATCCTGTCTTGCCTAAGTTGGGAAAAGAACATGGCTATTTAAGCTAATCGCCTGAGCAAATGTGTAGGTTAGAACAGGCTATTATTGGGGCCTGAGAATAGCCTCTGCTGGGTTCGAACCCACTCGTCCAGATTGCCTGGCAATGCTTCATTAAGGCTCATGGCACCATGGGGAGAGATAAAAGGAGTAATCGAAGCTACGAATGACTTGCCAAAATTGCACCCTGAGATGAAAATAGAAACAAAAGCTCTCGGACAAAGATCTTAAAAGCTCTGAAACCAACTCCAAAAATCTGAGGCCTCTAGAAATTTTCTCAGGGCCATCTCAACTCCTTTTGCCTCTACTGACATCACTAATCCGAAGTTCATTGTTTGTCCAATACACTTGGACTTCCCCTAAGAAACCAGTTTCCATGGATACCGAACCTATGTTAGCCGGACTGTGTGACTTAACCTCACTCACCGTCTAGGTTCCTGAACAAGGCAGGGTAACATAACAAACCCCAGGTGATTAAGTGAGTAAATTAACCTCTGGAGTCTTCCTTTTCCATCTTTAAGATGAAAATCCTTACTAAAGGATGCTTATACGAGGGCACAAAGACATAGAAGCCAGTGTTCACCGTGCTGTTTTTGGTAATCAGCAGGGGAAAAGTTAAATAAAGTGTGGTACGTTATCCACCAGCCTAACGTGCATTCATCGAAATGGGTAACCCAATCTGTGTGGTCTGTCGTGGAGCACTCCCCATATGCTAAGAGGGGGAAGAGATGGTTACAAACCATATATATGTGTGTGGTTGGATCCTGTTTAATGAAAAATAAAATCGTTGTCTGTATATGTAGACAAAATGTGTGTGTATGCATAAGACATGTGAATATATGATTGATTTGAATATTCATAGACAAAGATCTGGAGGGATGCAACAAGCTATGAATAGTATTTCTATTTGGGGAATGCGATTAGGGTTGAAAGAGGCACACACGTTTCATTTATACACGTTTTTATCTTCTTAATTTTTTATCATTAGCATGTATTGATTTTGTAATTAAGATGAGAAAAATGAATTTAAAATTCTAATAAGGAGATTTAACCCAGGGCTCTGGATCTAAAAATGTCCGGGTTCATTTAGGCCAGAGGCACGTACATACAGAGTTGTCTCGAAATATTTGTACCACCTCTTGAGGCAAAGCTTGTTCTCCTGGGGAGGGCAGTTTCTTACCCCCTGAGAAGAAATGAAACCAGTTGCAGAAGTTGTGTCCCCAGACGGCTGCCTGGCTGCTGCCCCTGGAAACTCACCCACAAATGTGTAACACAGGGCAATGTCTGTCTTTGACTTCAGCTCCTCTGACCCCCAAGCAGTGACTTGTGGAGCAGCGACACTCTCAGCAGAGAAGGTCAGAGTGGACAACAGGGATTATAAGAAGTACACAGTGGAGTGTCAGGAGGGTAGTGCCTGCCCAGCTGCCGAGGAGAGCCTGCCCATCGAAGTCGTCGTGGATGCTATTCACAAGCTCAAGTACGAAAACTACACCAGCAGCTTCTTCATCAGGGACATCAGTAAGTTTGCTTGATTATACGTGCTTACTAAGGATAAATGCCGTTTGTCACATGTGCACAATGCCCCATGCACTGAGGTAAGGGGTTTACATGCATCATCTCTCTTATTGTATACCCCCCAAAAGGTGTACAATGTAAATACTATTGTCTGCATTTTAAGGAAGAGAAAATTGAGTCTTACACAGGTTAAATAAGTTGCCCCAGATCTCACACCTAGCAGTTGAGACCCAGTCCTGCCCCAGGAGAAAAGAGGAGACTCTTGGGGCACCTGGGTGGCTCAGTCAGTTAAATGACCAACTCTTGATTTCGAATCAGGTCATGATCTCACGGTTTGTGAGTTCAAGCCCTGTATCGGGCTCCCTACTGCAGTGTGGCGCCTGCTTGGGATTCTCTCTCTCCTCTCTCTCTGTCCTCCCCTCAAAATAAATAAATATACATTTAAAAAAATACGAGAAAAAGCAGGCTCCTGGCTACACTTGTATTCTGCCGTCCAGGCAGCTTCCACAGCGAACCTAGGAGGAGTCCCTCAAGCATACCATACGATATCATACCAGCCTTCCATACTAATTGCGGTTATTCCAAACCAATCTTTCTCCAGCATTTGAAAAAAGAATCTTCCTTATTGGAATAAGACCCTCCAAAATGGACATCTGTTTTTTTTTTAATTTGCACATGGAGATTTTGCCATTTGTCATTTCCTTTGCCATGTATCCACTGAACGTTCATCATGAAGTAGAATGTATAGAATCACAGAACTTGCTCTAGCATTTGTGGAGAGATTGCCCTTGGCAGGTAGGGAAAGGTTTGCGTTCATGCGATGGCTAGGGAAGGTCTCTCTGAGGAGACATTTAGCTGAGTTCTAAAGGAAAAAAGAAAAAATGTCAGTTGTGTTAATAATAGAAGAATATTTGAAAAGCATCTACTAGGAGCCCTGGTCTTTGGGCTTTGGACACTGCATAGAATGTCTCCTGTGCCCTTGTCTAGACAAGGGTCTACAGTCTTCCGTGATACTCGCTGCTGTATCCTCTGTGCACAGTCCAGTGGCTGCACATGACTGGTGCTCAGTAATCATTTATTGAATGAATGAACGAGCACAGAGATGGGGGATTGACTATAACTGCTGCAAGGCGAGTCAGTGCCAGATGCCGTGAAAAGACAACAGAAAGAGCACCAAGTGCAAAGTCTCTCCTCTCATCCCCAGAGAGGGGCTCCGCTCAGTTCCAAGCTCGGTGCGCAGAGGGGTATTGACCACAGAGAGGGTGGTCCTTCACTACATAGCCCAGATGTGAGAGCCTTGTTTCCACAAAATTTCTTCTGAGCACAACGCAGAGGGGGTTCCAGTGCTACGGCTCATCTGATGGTGCAATGACAAGGATTTGGAAGCCTCTCTTGGGGTTAGCCATAGAGGGTGTGGCATTTGGTGAGGACCACCTTCCATGGGCACCAGCACGGGCACCAGCAGCAGGGATCTCATGTCTGCCAACAGGCGCCCAGAGAAGTTAAGTAACTATCCTACGGACTCACAGCTCATCAAAGATGAAAGTAGGATCAGAAACCAGAACTACCTTACACCAAAGTCCTATTAGGAAAATAAAGGGTGTTTCTTTATATTCTTCCACAGTCAAACCGGACCCTCCCAAGAACCTGCAGCTGAAACCATTAAAGAATTCTCGGCATGTGGAAGTGAGCTGGGAATACCCTGACACCTGGAGCATCCCACATTCCTACTTCTCCCTGACATTTGGCATACAGGTCCAGGGCAAGAACAACAGAGAAAAGGTATGATGTGATTCAGGTGCCATATATTCAGGTTTAGGTGGGCCCACATCAACGGGATGAGGATGCCAGTAACTAACATTTATCTAGCACTTTCTAAATGCCCGAGACTATGCTAAGGGTTTTACATGCATATCTCACTGAATCCTTCAAGGAACCCTGCAAAGGCAGGCAGTATTATCACCACTTCACTAGTGAAGACATTGAAACTCAGAGAGGTTAAATGACTTGCTCAAAGTTACTCAGCTAGGAAAGAGGAAGGATCAGAACCAGGAAATTCGGGCTGGGGGACACAAATTGCCTGCACATAACCATGCTACTACTGCCTCCAGTACAGTTCGTCATGAATTCTTGCACTCAGAATTGATCCCCAAAAAGGAAATCTGGGCTCCAGGAGCCTAAAATTATTGCTTCAATTTAGTGAGTATAATGACTGATAGAACATTCATGCTACGTCTCACCAAACATGGATAATTCCAAGCTGTTCCACATATAGTGAAATTATTTTATTGAGCAGAATGCTAGTGTTCACATAGGCTACGACAATGGCTTTCAAACTTTCTTGCCTTGGCATCATAATCCCCAGGATCAAGATGTGCTTTTCTAAAGCCCAACACTTCTTGAACCCCGGTTTTAGAAATCACGGGAACAAGGTCTTATTCAGGATAGTGTTTAGCATTTAGTAGAAATTCAGTCACTCAGTCACTCCCTGAGCATTATTTTTTTGTAGGAGGGAAGGGCCATTCTGGGGTAAATTTTACCTAAATCTTATTTAAAATCTTCATATGTGTCTTCCCTACATAAAATTTATGTCATTAATAGATAATATCTACTGAATACGTTCTACCTGATTAAAAACTTAAGTAAGAGTTTTACATGATGATTACCTTTAACATTTACATGTCTTGAGGTAGGAATGATTATTATCCCTCTTTTATAAATGATAAAACTCAGACACAGAGCCTAAAGCATTTTCCTGTGGTCACACAGCTAAAAGTAAACAATGCCTGGATTTCAACACGTTTTCTGATAAAAGGATCAAGATATAGTATTTCGGGATATCCAGGGGTCAGCTACAGCAAATCTTCCTTAGTTCTACCAGCGGCCCAGCACAGGGGTGAGTGTGCATGGGGCCCTCAGGCAGGGCAGCTGTGCTAGAAAGATGTGAGCTGGACAGAACCATTCCTCCCTCTGGCCTGAGGTAGAAAATGAGTTTAGAGCTTCTATCACTAGGTGGCGCAAGTTCTATACATTTCCACTGGTGATTGGAGCCCTTATACCAAGGTGTACCTGTTTTGGGAGATCAAGCGTTGCAGAAATAGGCCCAGCCTATCTTGTGACTGTATTGCCAAAGACATTCCTCTCCTTTGCAGAAAGATAGACTCTCCGTGGACAAGACCTCAGCCAAGGTCGTGTGCCACAGGGATGCCAAGATCCGCGTGCAAGCCCGAGACCGCTACTATAGCTCATCCTGGAGCAACTGGGCATCTGTGTCCTGCAGTTAGGTGAGCAGGCCCACAAAGCCCAATGGACCCAGGTGCAGGGCAATGGTGCGGAGGGCGGGGGAGCAGGAGAAGAAAGGGGAGACAGGGTGCCTCACACATAGTCATGAGAGTCAGAAACATACATTAGTTCATTAGCGGATATTTATTTGATTCAGGCACTGTGCTGGGTACAGAGATACTGCAGTAAAGAAAACTGACATAGGTCCTGCCCTCCTGGAAGAGAAGGCAAAGAAGAGAGAGAGGTAGCTAGGGGTCCGGGCAAAAATAGCTTGCAAGCTGTTTTCAAGACTTAGAACCTTCTCCAGTGTCCTGGGGGTGGGGGGGGTGTCACTGAAAGCAGCCAGATCCTAGGCCACATAAGGACAGGCTAGACCCTTCTGACATGGAATCCCTAAAACCCAGTTGCCCCGGTAATGTGTTGTGCGAAATAAGACGAATTTGCTGCCAAATTTCTAATTCACATAGACTGTTGGTATTCTTTTTCAGGTTCTACTCCCAGGATGAAACCTTGGAGGAAAAGTGGAAGATATTATACAAATTTTTTTAAAAGACAATGGAATAGGGCCCAAAAGTTATTTTCTACCTAATTTTCTTTTTTTAAAGGATCATTATAATGTCTTTGTAGTATTTTTACATTGAAATGCCAAATGCCCACTGAAATAATTAGCTACTTTATTTATAGATTTTCTAGCTAACAGGTTGCCACTGACCTTAATGCTATTTAAATATTTAAGTAATTTATGTATTTATTAATATATTGTTGTTATTGAACCCTTCTGTGCCAAGATGTATTATATGTTTCACACTCCCAGGACCCGATCCGTAAGGAATAGGCCCTATTATGCAAAATGTGAATTTATTTATTTATACTGACAACTTTTCAAGTAAGAGTACAAGTGCATCAGTTTTATGACAACCAGTGAGAGCACAATGTTCTGATGCCATAATATATTTGTGATGGATGGGAACACAGAAACAGTTAAATAGAGGCAGGGAGACATGACTCCATTTGAAAGGATTCTGGAGATCGAGATGTTAGTTCCTGTATCCTTGAAGGTTTCCTCGAGCTGATGTTGATAAAGCAGTTCAGGGCCACCTGCACTTCTAAGCAAGTTTTTGGGGGGCTTGGGGGGACATTGGATGCGTGAATTTAGAAAGGCCTAAAAAATTAATTGAAATTGAAATTCCACATCAGCCACCCTGGCCGTCCCCCCTCTATCCATCTGTAAGACACTGGAGAGTGACCCCGAGACAGTATGTGTCTGAAAAGTAAAAAGGTCTTAGGATCCAAGAGGGAGAATAAGTATAGGATGGCCAAGCAAATAAAATTGTCACAATTGCCAGTTGCCTTTTAATAGCCATGCAAAAAAGCCCAGGGTTGCAAAGAAAACAATCATGAATCGCTTACTCATCAGCATGAGTGAACCTGACTGGTGGGTATGAACGGACAGTACCAATCACGAAGGTGCTACTTTTAAGCAATGAATGTGCTTTCTGTAAAGTGATTTCATTTGTTTTCTGTTTACTTGTTTTTACATTCTGAGAGTGAACTAATAAAAATATAATCTTCTTTGCAATAATGTTTCAGGCTTTCATTTACCAGGATTCCATTACTTTTCCCCTGCCACTTAAGAATTGCCCTTCTTTGAAGCAATTTCACTTCCAGTTTTGCAGAGTTGCCCTTTCCCTTTATAGGATTCACAAAGTCAGTGTCTTGCTGAGCTCAGGGAATATCCCTGTGGTCTGATCATGGGGAACTCTGCAAGGACACTGAACCACTGAACCATTATGCCCTCTTCAGGGGTTGGATGTTCTTGCTTCTTTCACCTTCTATCCTGGAATCGACTCTACTTGCTTCCAAAGTGTGATGAAATAAAGCCCCAACATGGTAGAGTCATGAGCATCCCATCTCATAGGTCCAGATCCAGTGATTGCAGAGGACTTGTCACGTGTCTGGACCTGCGTTAGAACACCTGACAAAGGTCCAGTTTGAGGAGGCCCAGACAACCTTGGGTTGCCTTCCCCAAACAGTGCCCATTCCTGGCACAGCTTAGAAGGCAGGGATGAAAAGTTAACTTCAACAGCACTGAATGTTAAAACATTCAGTATATATGGTGCCCTAGGGGTAAGAATGAAGGAGAAGAATCCGTGTAGCCTGGAGTCACCTAGGAAGGCTCAATAGAGAAGGGGAAGTCAATGAAAGGACAGAGCCTGCCAATTTCTCTTTGGTGCCTCCCACAGAGAGAGCAAGTGGTGGGATCGGAGAGAATGGAGTCCATTCTCTACTATCTTCCATAGCCAGTGTACATATCTGGGCCTCCTTGCAATGGCAAGGTAATTATAATAGGTATGTTTTAAGTATCCTTATTTTAAGAGTCTCCTGGAGCCTTTACTCTCCTCTGCTTCTGACCTGGAGGAATGATGGAAAGATTCTATCATTCTCATCCAACATTTGAAACCTATCATTTTGTATTATGAGCCCATACTGGCTAGCATGTAGTTGGTTAATAACAACTATTTGTCCTCCTACAGGGTCTTTCATCTAGAGATACCAAAACACTTAATGGGCATTTAATAAACAATGCTAACCAAGAAAAAATAATTAATCACATTAATAAGTACAGACACCAGGAGACTTTTCCTAAAACTTCCGGCCAGCCTGGGGCATAGCTCAGATGTTCCGGCTCCCAGCATGCCCAGTGCTTTCCTGACATGATCTCTTAGCATTCAATTAATTTGAATTTCAATGAAGAGTTTTTGTCTTTGAAGGACATTCTCAGGACAGTCCTTTTTTATGGAGCCTCTAGCCACTACAAACATATCAAATGTTCGAGCTAAAGAGCTCAGGACTGGGAACCAGGAGACTGGTCCCTGAGCCTGGTGAGCCCTGCTACGTGACCATGTGACCTTCATCAGGACACTGGACACAACCTGCTGTTTGTCCCATCAGTATTCATTCTCAACTTCTTTCTCTCCCAGTGACCCTCCTGAGCTCTAGGATTGGAAAGCTAAGTAATCACTTTTCTAGCCACCCTGGCTTCCCAGCAAGGACATGAGACCTAGTTCCAGTCCATGAGATGTAAGAAAATTCTGCTGGTGTTCTCCTGAGAAAAGACCCAAGAAATTGGGTATTTCTTAATTGTGGTTAAATACACATAAGATAAAATGTATACGTATAACCATCTTTGGGTACCCAATTCACTGACATTAACTACATTCCATTGTTCTGCAGTCATCACCCGATCCACTTTCTCTTCTTCCCAAACAGATTCTGTGCCATGAAACAATAACTCCTCCCATGTTTGTCTTCCAAAATGGAAAACAAATACACTGAAAATTAAATAAAGATATTCTCGTAAACATCTAGGTCCCCATCTCAGAGAGGCACCTGGCCACGTGAGAAAAAGAAGCCAGGGGGGAATTGGCATCAGAACACCTCACAACTGGCCTGCCCCTCACATCTGGCCTGCCTCTCATAGCTGGCATGCCCCTAGAGAACCCCGGAGCCACATCCAATGATGCCAAGTAGGGTCCTGGGGATGCCAGGGTCAGAAAGCTCATTCCAAGCAACCCAAGCCTGAGCAGGACGAACCTGGGTGAGGAGGGAGGGGGGTGCAGGCAAGCAGCTCCTATAGGAGAGACACCCCTGCTGTTCCTTCTTTCTCTCAACAACACTTTTTGAGTTACTGCTCTGTCCCTGGCACCATCCTCAACTTTCTGGATACAAGGCTAAACAAGACCTTGCTCTCTCACTGTTTCCAGTCTCCAAAGGATTGAATGCTTGAAATCCTAAGCACAGAAGGCCACCTCTTGAGGGTTAAGAGCTCTATAAAATGAGATGATCCATTTAATGAGATTAGCACAGTGCCTGGCCCACAATAAGCACTCAGAAAATGGTAGCTATTTCTACTGAATAGCTTTGTGATCTTGGGCAAGTTACTTCACCTCTGCAAGCCTCAGTTTTCTCATCTGTAAAATGGGATAATAAGAGTACCCACTTCACAGAGTGGTTGTGAGGGTTAATGGAGTAACACTTAGAAAGTGCTTATAAAAATACTTGATCCATAATAAGTACTCAATTAAAGTTGGTTGTGAATATTATTACTATATTGCCTATACCCTAAAAAAATGAATAACTTGGGACCCTATGCCTTTGTGGGGGTAGGGAAATGGAGGGATTGTTGTTAGAAGGTCGTGATGTTTCTTATAAGTGGATTGGGAGGGAGGAAGCATTAATGAGTCAATGAAGAGATCAGTCAAGCTCCTCAGTGTAGAAACCCTTTCTTACAAATAGATTTGTAAGAACATCCCCATCTGGAGGGTACCAAGATGTAATGAATCCAATTCCCGCCTCCAGGGATCAGAGAGACTAAAAAAGGGGCAGACATGGGGAATACATATATTAAAATACAGCCAGGTTAGGATGAGGGTATGTGCACCCTAAATATTTCTTTCTACAAAGGTTTTTCAGCTCCCGGGAACACCCTTTTCATTCCCTTTAACCTTTCCGGGTGCAATAATTTGGCATAAACCTGCCAATTCACCTTACCCATAAATCCGATTTTAATCATCTCTTTCCTTTTCATTTCAGTATGGCCCCTCTTCCAGCACAGCATTTGTGAGCAAAATGTATTTGGACAAGACTTTCTCCAGAGGGCCATATTATAACCAAGGAAATGAATTCCCTCTCTCAAGCTCATAAAATGCAAAAATAAAATCAGCATTCGAGCTGAGGGCAGAGGAAACCAGGCGCGCATACTGAACACCCTTCCTTCTGCAGGAAGCGCGCTCGGCGGAGCTGATTTGCATTTACCTTCACGCAGGCCTGGGTTCCCAGGCGCGAGGCATCCTGGCAGCCCGCCTCCTCGCGGTCGTGCGCAGCCCCTCCACCTAGTGCAGGCCGGTGTGTGACCCGCTTCAGGGCTCTGCAGACACTCCCTAATCTCCCCTGCCTCCTTTCGTAAGAAACACAAACCGTCTCTCCCCCACCCTTTAATCCAACCGACCAGGGGTCTTCCCTGGCTCTTTGCAAAAGGACCATTGCTAACCCCAGCATGGTGGGGTGGGGGACAGCTCATAGTGTCCGGTGGGCATCTTCCTTCCCACACCCACCATCCAACAGGCGCTCGCAAAACACTGGTCGAGTGGGGGCCTCAGTGCCTGGGAGGAGCTGGACCGCAGAGCATGTGTGCACCTGGCCTGAAGCAAGGAGACCTGGGCTCAAATCCCTTCTCCCCATTTACCAGCTATGTGCCCTTGGGCATTTCCTTAATCTCTCTGTGCCTCAGTTTCCTCACCTCTAAAACAAGTATGCTAGCAGTGCCATCACCTCCTGGGGATGTTGTGACAATTTAAGGAGACCAAGCTCACAGCAGCCAGCAGCCAGCAAGTATACTCAAATGCCAGTTGCAGTTTCTGTTTTTATAAAGTCAAGCCAAAAGGAAGAAGCAGTTCTAATCCCACATCTTCTTCCCTCCCTATGGAGATGAGGGCTGGTCTGGGACATGCCCATAAGCTTTCCAGTTCTGACTCAGAAATCTGTGTCCACCTGCCCATCAGTCCTCTCCTGCCAGCACACAGCAGCAACATCTCCCCCAAATCACAGCATACAGAGCATTGTGCCATTTCCGCAACCACCAAATGGCTCTGCACCCAGCCTTGAAAAATGGTCTCCAGCCATGGCTGATCCTTTTCTCGGAAATCCCTCTTTTTGCACTTTTGGGGGCTTTAGTGGCTAACCAGACCAATGGTCTCCCAACTCGTTCGAGCTAGAATCCCTTTGTTCAAGTGGAAATCCTAAATGAAGTCCCACCATATACAGACACCGGGGCAGATGGGTAGCCAAAGGGACTTTAGTTTTATCAGCAATGTTCTAATTCTTTACAAGAAGAATGTATTAGCATATTTCCTGCATAATTAAAAATTAATTTTTTATAAAGTCCTATATGTAAAGCAGACAAAAGCAGAACTGCTCCGGCTGAAGCTTCCCACCCACTCAGCCACCCTCCCTACTCACCCCTGAGAGCCCAGGGCCCAACCTCAATGCCCCTAAACTCTTCAGAGCCCAGTTTGAGAACCTCAAGTTTCATAAGATGAGGAAATGGAAGGCCAGAGAAGTCTGGTGCCTTGCCCAAATACCCAGAGCCTGATTCGTGCCAATGCTCAAACTTGAACCTGAGTCTCCTGACTCCCATTTTGGCTGTTCCTGACATTTTAAGTAATAATTCCTGGAAGATTGCTATTAAAATGGTCACCTTATCCCCAGCGAGTAGCAGCACATGAAAACCTAGGGGTTCCTGCAAATGCTTGCATACTAATTAGCTTCTCAAAATCGTTGCCCAGCTCCTTGCAATGTGGTGTCTGGAACCTAAGAGCATCCTCTGCTCCACTCCAGCGAGAGTAGAAAAGAAACAGCAAGGGCATACACCCTATAAGACAAAGAA